ATTTACAGTAAGTACCTACAGATGTATTACAGATTTTATATCTTTTTTGAATTTTTTTAGTAATGAAATAATAAAAATTTGAAATGGTGTAAAATCTGTAATACCTACTTGGATTAAACAATTTTTTAAATTTGTTGATGAGCTGTAGTAAATTATAAATTACACCAATTTAATTTGATTTAAATTAATAAGGGAGAGCAGGGGGCTTCTGTCTGTCTTTAATGTCATTAAAAACTCTTATAAATTTGGTGTGGGTCCCAAAATCCACTAGCCGCCACAAAATGCTTAAAAAATACAATTTTTTTTTATAAAAAATTAAAATATTACAAAACAAAAATAACTTAGCATATATGCATGCTAACAAAATCCTTTTTTTTTAGAAAAATTACAGCTTGTGCATAAATGGATTTTATGTCTATGCAAAAACTGTCATTGGTTCTAAAAACTTTGTAAGCACAATAGTGCTTATTAAAACCTATATTTCTTGCAAATGAATATAATTATATATAATATATAATATATATATATTAGGGTGGTCCTTATTTTGGCTTCTTTCGAATTTTTTTTCACGATAGTGCTAAATCCGTTCCAAATGTATAAAAAAAAATTCCTGCCAAGTTACAGCTCTTAATTTTAATATTAACCTGGCCCCCCCGGCAGCCAAAGTTTTAAATGGAAATAACATGTAAAAAGTAGGTTTTGCTCTTTGTAATTTTTTATCTTGTTTACATATTAATTAACAATAATTTAATATATATATTCTTATAGAAAATTTACCGCTCTACTAAAAGGGTTTCTTATGATTTTTCGCTAAACCTACTAGTTCGAAAGATATTCCAGGTCAAAGTTCAATTTATAATTAATTTCACAGTTTTGCTCATTTTCACAAGGAAATAGCGCTTTTAAATGAAAAACATAGTATATTTTATAAACTGTATATTATTTGCTTTAATAAAATATCAAAATTTTCTAGAAATCATCAATTATTCAATGGTAGTATATAATATATATATAATATCATCGGATAGCACAATATTTTCCAATTTTTCCATAAAGCTATAAAAATCAAACAGTGCATTAATATAATAACCTCTAACTAGATTAATTTATACCTACATATTTACTCACCTACAAATACAGGAATTAACTCCTGTAAATCCCATTTTCCAGTAAGTTTTCCATTAGATAAACACGTCCACTTTGCTTTGCTTTAACTAAGACAATGGATGTAATATATAGATTCAAGCGGGTTCTAACCCACAAAAAAACTGTTCTTACCGAATAATAACCAATTAATTTTTTAAAACAACGAATGTTGTGGTAAAATCTTGGAACGTACTACTTGTAGTGGTAAAAACAGCTTATTTATTAAGTAATTTTTCTGAGTTGCACTAGTAACCACCATGTTACAACAAAAGATGACACATTGTAATGGTAAATTTTACTAAAGAATGTTACTTTTTTGTAGTAGTTTTAAATGCCTACCTTAGTACCTTTTCTTACCATTGTTTTCGCTATTTTTACTTTAAAAAACTTTACAACTACAAAAAGTAAAATAATTGAGAATTATTTTTATCGGTGCAGTTTAGCAATACATGATGGTTGTAATAGCCTAATCAAATATCTAACTTTACTAAATTTTTATAACAAAATGATTAGAGTACATATAACAAAACTAATTTTACGTATATTGTTATTACAACCATAAGTTATAATTAAATGAACCATATTTTGCATAACAAATCTGTATTGTTAGGGATTACAATATATTTTCTTAGAGTGCATGCGGAAATGCTTAACAACTGTCAGTTTTCCGTAGCTTTAGGCACATTAAGTTTTCGATATTTTGAAACCACAAATTACTTATTTCGTGTGCACTTTCGAACATTTAAAGGTAAATACAACGTTTTTCGAAATTGCCGCAGTTAAGGTAATAATACGTTTAAAATAACCTGGTATGATGTAAAAAACAAAATATTTTTTTTAGTTTTTATTGAATTTATTTACGTTGTGGGTACCTATTAAAAATCATAAATATATATAAAGCTCTATAAACCAGGGGCGCAACATGTGTGCGTGTTAAAAATATACATACGCGTTATGGTCGAGAAAACTTCAACACTCGCTTTCTTTGAACAAATCGTTTTGCGGAAAACCATGCGGCATTGTTTTAATCCCATGATTCATCGCGACAAATTACTTACCAGAACTAATTTTAAAAGTTATTTACGGAAATTTTACAGTCTTCTTTTATGAGACGCGCTGTCTCTATAGACCAAAATCGCGCATGAAGTGGCCAGAAAGTTAAAAATTAATTATTTATTACATGTTTTAAAAGTCTAAAACCTATCCTCCGTGACTGTTACTCTTTCTAGGTTAACCTACATATTTTTAAATATCTTAGGTACCTAAAGGTACTATAGTAAAAGCAATTGTCATATACATTCATTCATTCAAAATTAAAGCGGCCTAACCTCACTTTTTTAGAATCTCATTTATTTATTAGCTAAAGATTACATTAAATGTACAATAATTATTATTGCTTTTAGAAGCAGTAACAGTTTGACGATACCTAGCAACATGATTTAAGTAGAAATTGATTTTTGCTATTACATTGAATTCAATTAATTGTTTAATAAATAGGTAGGTAGGTATCTAATTTCAATTTGTTTGGATTTTTATTTAAAAAATAGGTAGTTTGGAATGTTTTAGCTGTGTTTAACATTTAATTTCACTAAAAACTTAAAGCAAATTAAAACTTAAAGATAGTTTAAATCGTAGAAAAAGAATCGTTTTCTTGGTTGCCTAACGTCACTTTTTGTTTTATTATTCATATTTAATTTTACAATAATTTAATGAAAAATATTAAACATTAACAGTAAAACAAACAAATTAGTGCTTATTATAAATAAATTAAACCAGTTTAGTACGTTAATTTCTTAGAAAAGGATTAATTTGTCAAAACAATACCCCTAGCGAGAAAAAATCGAACTAATTACTTGCCTCATAAAAATTTTTATCGGCCTAGGCCATAACAAGGTATTTCTTTATCGAACCGAACAATAAAGTTTAAATTATAGACCGCGTGGAGATAAAATCAATTAAATACCTACTGCTTTTTATAAAAATGTAGTTTATGCTAATTTTCCACAAATTTCTTGTTTAGCAGTTACTGCCTTTCTCCATAGTAGAGTATAATTTAGGAGTTTTTTAGTTTGATTAAGACTCAAACTTTGAGCCTCAAAGTTAAATGTCATGACCCTCGAGTAGTGTTGCTGTTCCATGACAGTATAGCCAGATAAAAAAATATTAAAAACAAATATCAATATGTTTCTATTAGTATTTAAACAGCGAATTTCCTGTACTTATAGCTTAATTATTATATTAAAACACGTAAAAACATTAAGAAATTAATGTCTACAATTACCGGGAATAATTGAACACCTGGTAGCAAGGAAAGGAACGGAAAGATAATAAAAAAACATTAAGCACGTAAATTAATGACATAGAATACTTCGTTTCCAGATACTCACTCAATTATTACCGTAAATAATTGATTGAAAAACGGTAGACAGGCAAATCATCAATTTCGAATAAAGCAAACTGCTAATTATTTCATTAATTGAATGCTCGTTTGTTGAACAAACACCTAATTACCGTTGAAATGCCAATCGACTTATTAAATAATCAAACGAACGAACCTCCTTCAAAAATAAACAGTCGATTTTAATTTTGTATATTAAGTTTACATGTATGCATACAGTGACAGGCGAAAGTATAGAACAAATTCATTGAAAAATTTGGCTTTTTTTTAATACTTGGAATTTTCATATTTTCCGCCATTTTTTAAAATTGTACCCCCCCTTTTTTTTGGAGAAAACTTAAGTTAAACCAACCCGTGCAATCTTGGTTGCATAGTATGTGCCGATCGCGGCAAAGGCGTTGTGGATCACGTGATGTTCTTACATCTCGCCTCTGTCTGCTCAGGTGGCCAGTATATAAGCTCAGGAAGTTCTTTGTTTTGAGTGTTCAACTACAACAAGTTGTCCGACACTGATTGGATACAATATAGATCGAAACAGCTAATAATATTAATTTGTTAAAACAACATTTATTTTTTAACATTCATAAATGGTTCATTTAGCTCTAAGTAAACATTGTTTGTATTGAATGTGCAAAAACTGTTGATTTAACCATTTATTGGTTAATTTAACCATTTTTTCTTTCAGTGTTCTTGGCATATTATCATTTAACTTGAAACTTTAAAATATCTCAGTTAGTATGCATTTTACGAAAAAATGTTTAAAATAAAAATTAAATGATTCGAGGGGGGAAATCAATCAGTACTAAAATTGGTCCTCATACTCTCCTCCTTATAAGGGGAACAGGGGGTAACTTTAAAATTTTCAATGGAACACCCTATTTTGTATTGCAGATTTGGATCATTCGACTAAAAATAGGTAGATTTTGTCTAAAACATTTTTTCATATTTGTTATAGATGGCGCTGTAATAAAAAAAAAATCAATTTTGTTCGATTTTTCTTCTGTATACGATTCTGCAATAATTTGTCTATAAAAATATTACATTTTTTGGTAATAATTATCTTATTAAATTAAATCTGATTTTTTTCAAGTACCCACGATTTTTTAACTAGTATTTAAGTTTCCTTTGGTTTAAGTTTTACACATTATTTCATTCGGTGATAATTATCAATTGCGCACCATGGTCACTTTTTACCTGCCAGCATTAAATCCTTTAATTTAAAGGATTATTGTACTATTTTTAATAGAAATACCTACCTCATTTAAGGTAAAAAAACATTATTTTGTCAATTAATTAATTTTATCCTAATTGAGGTATAAAAATGATATTTAGTTATAAATAATAATTATTATTAAGGTATAAAGAAACTATTTATAGTTTAGCATTATTTAATCAATTTAGTTCGAAGATTAATTTGCAAACAAAAAGACCTCCTTTCGTTAAGCAGTTATTCATAATGGATTTTTTAACAGTCGAAGAAAAAATAGAAATGATTTTGATTTATGGAGAAGCAGGCAGGAATCTTGATGATGCTGTTAATATCTACGCTCAGAGTTTTCCGGATAAAATTCGATCACGTACTTTATTTCACCGAACAGTCAAGCAGTTTACTACAAACGGGAGTGTTCAACCGAAAAAAAGAGTTCGTCGAACAACAGTCACAGGTGGAAATAATGAAATTAATGTAGGTATTAGCAGCAACGGCCGCTAATCCTCATGCAAGCACACTATTATTTAGAGATTTGGGAATATCCCAGAGCAGTGTTAGCAGAATATTAAATCGAAATGCGAATTAATAAATAATAATAATAATATTTAAAATTTAAAAAATAAAACCAAATTTTTTTTTCAAAAATTATTGGAGAATCGTGCAGAAAAAAATCGAACAAAATTGATTTTTTTTCATTACACCGCAATTTATTAAAAATATGAAAAAATGTTTTAGACAATATCTACCTATTTTTAGTCGAATGATCCGAATCTGCAATAAAAAATAGGATGTTCCAAGTTTCAAGTTGACTCACCCTGTATACAAATTACACAATATTTGCGACGTGTTTCCCCTTAGATGGAGGGGGCTAATTAGTAGTAAAAGCGGTGTTTCAAGATTTCAAGAAAAGTTGTGAGAGGCGGAGCTGAAATCTCATTAATCCAGCTAGCTGCCTAATAATTAAAATTTTAATTATGTATTATATTTAGAGGTGCCAACAATTTGCCAAATATCCATTGACGTGTTTTTAAACGTCCAATTAGGTACCTACCTAAATGCAATATTTTTGGCTTCATCATTAATATAAAAAAATTATATAGGGGCTATTCTACAAAAGTTGGGCAACTTTTGACCCCATTTTGTTTATATACAGGGTGTTATGTAATTAATGTTATATATTAAAATGGGTTGTTCCTTAGGGTCCATAAAGAAGCACCTGAAACTTTTTTTTTCTAAATTCCAAAGTATAAAAATAATTTATAATAACCTTTATCCTACCAAAAAGTACGCCACTGATCGACTAGGAACTTTAGGTTAATCTGGTGGATTTATTATGTTATGGTTGGTAACAACAGTGTTTAAAAAATCTCTCAAAAAAGTTGGCAAACATTGTTTAAATTTAGCTTAATTACAAAAATGACAAAATTAACAATGCAAATTGTCAATTTGGCGTTTTTATTAATTGTTGGTTATTTCATTTTTGTACTGAAGGTAAATTCAAACAAAATCTGCCAACTTTTATGACAGAATCTAATGCATTTCTTTTAAATTTTAGGTTATGTTTTCAAATTGTAAATATCTTAACTAAGGGAAGTGCTTTTGGATTTATTTACACAAATTAAATGTTTAAAGTTTAACCTGTGAACTGGTCCCAATTTCATCTGAGTAAACAGAGAAAAAAACTGATGAAAAAATTAATTTTGTGGTTATGAATTTCAAATTTTAAAGGTACTAAATTTTCTAATCATTGCTTAAGCTAATAGCTGGATCAGTAAATAAATACAGAAGGGTATTAGAGCTTTAAGGGCATGCCCTTATGCATAAAACTTTTGTATTTATTGAGTTTTTATTTATTTTTTGCAAGAAAAATTTTTAGTAACAATTTTTTACATCTGGCAACGCATAGCTACTTTGTTGGTTGGTATCTATGTACTCACAAAATACAGGTGTGCAGAGGTAAACAAGTGTAACCAGTGGCGTATCACAAAAAATATAAAAAACTTCTAATGCATATTTTTTCTTTATCTTTGAAAAAATGTTTTTTTTAATATTTTTCCTTTATTTCTTATGTCAAAAGGTATTCAGTATTTTAATATATAACATTAATTACATAACACCCTGTAGTTTTCGGAGAAAATTAAACAGTATTTTGTTATGAGAACATAGATAATATAATAAATATACTGTTCCAGACCGGGCCAGTCACTTTTTCAAACAGTTTATGAAATATCTGTGTTTTCTAAATTTGAATGCAAGGGAAGTGACGAGTATACCAGGGTACTAAATAAATACATAATTTATTGAAAAATTTAAATTTTATTGCAACTTTGAGCATATTATACATTAAATATCTTAAAATCAAATAATACCACACATCAGTGGCGGCTGGTGGATTTTGGGTATACCGATATCTCAATTATTAGATATGGGACCCACACCAAATTTATATGAGTTTATAATGACATTAATTAAACAAGTTCTGCACAAGCAGAATTTAAATTGGAGTTTGCTAAAAAAGATAACCGAAACATCGAACATGGAACTAACGACACGGTACCGATGAAGGGATACAAATTTGAGATTATAATTCGGAATTAAGTATTTTACTGATATTTTTTATTAGTGGATGCTATTTATCAACAAATCACATAGGTATAGCCTTATATAAATTACAATGAAATATATATACGTGATTTTGACTGGAACTATACGTGCATTCACCACAACTTCGCCGCTTGTATTGTTTTAAAGATTACTGTCGTGCAAAGGGCGGGCTCTGTAGGTAATTTTTTACCTACACTTGAGTTAAAACGAGGACTTGACGTTTAAACTTCAATATTTCGCAGGAATTTTGAATTTTAACATTGGACTGAGGGGTAAAAGTAAGTACAAAAATTATCAATTTTTTAAAAATTGCTATTATTCGAATTTATGATAAAATATGAAAATTACATTATTTAATGTTTTATAGTTTGTAGTGAAATTAAAAAAAATTAAGATATATTGAATATCTATATTTTAAAATAAAATCACTCAAATATTTCATACAGGAGTTGTGACACGCCAAGGTACTGATGGTTTGAATATTTATTATGTTTTTGAAAAAATAAATTAAAATTGGGTGGACAAGTTAAAAAAACCTGGATCTTTTGTAATTTACTAAAATATTTACAAAAAATATTAAAATACCTACTCTATTGACTGATGACATCAAGTTGTCCAACTTTTGTAGAATCACCCATATGTAGATAGTTTTAAGTAGAAAATGATTTCAGACTTTTATCTAAAAAAAAAATTTGTTAGATTTAAAATATTCCAAAGAAAAAACCTGTTAGTTGGATAAACAAAATCCGGCGTGGGATGCAATCCAATCGGGCCAAGCGGCGGGATTTTGATTTCCCTAATCAGTTTCGGGCAATTTGCTCGCAAAATCCCCCAATTAGCCGCCCCCACCGCCGCCGACACAATCGAACGCAATTTGGCTCAATTACCGCGGACCGAACCTCGCACGCCATTGGCCGCGACGCGACCAACGACGAAGCGAGGGGCGGGGCGCCGAAACGCACGCCCCCTTGCCACGGCAACGCGGCCCAAGCCGACCGAGATCCAGTTGGGTCGTCGAAATCGCGCTGTCAACTTGAAATGTGCGCTGACAATTATTGTTGAGTTCGTACGGAAAGTAAACATGGACGTCGCGAGTGCCGAAGAGACGGTTATGAAGTGCAAAAAACCGACGCCTTTCAGCATAGAGGCGCTGATGAGCGATTGCGGGCCGAAAAAAGACAATAGGGAAACGTTTCCGTGGCACCATCACCATCACGCTTATCTCAGGAGGCCGGTTTCGCCCAATTTGGCGGCCAATGTCGTCGGCAGCGAGTCCGATGGCAGTGTGGACATGGACCTCGCTCAGGATTTATCCAATAGAAGCCAAAAAGATGCAGGTACATAAGTCTTTTGTGATGCAATCTTTAACTTTGGTCTTAAACCTGGCCCAAATGGCCTCCTCTATCTCCCGACCAGTCACTATGTGAGATTTTAATGATTTAATAATAAGAACTTCCTACACCAGAATAGAAAAAATGCCTAATCCTATAAAGGGTTTATTAAAAGATCGACTGTACTAAAGAGCTTGTAGTTTTTCTTATATTTTTGTACCAACTATAATTGTTTAGTAAAATTAACATTGCATTTGAATTTAACCGACGGAAAATGTTTTCATTTACTTACCCAGATAGCCATATCAGGTTAAAACTTAAGCCAATTGGCCAATAATTGCCCTTTCACCTTTGGAAAACTTTGCCTTTAAAGGTACAATATAGGAGTTAATATTCCTTTTTCTTGTTTACATTTAATTCTATTAAATTTTGTATTTAAATTTTTTAATTATAATAAAAAAAAATTTAAAAAATAAAAATTTGTTAAAAAACAAAAAAACAGTTTTTTTATCCGAAATCGGCAGTAAAGTAGAACTGTACTGCCGATTTAATACGAGTATTGTAGGCAACCCATTATACATTTTAAGATGTGTCTACTGCTCCTCAGCAGCAACTAAATTATATTTGAAAAAAAGCACCTTAATAAGTTAATTTTATTAATTAGATTAAAAAATCGCCGCGGCGGGCAAATACACTGTTCAAAATTTCATGACCATTTTAACACCAAATTAACACCATACATGGTCTATATCGATACAAACCAAAATGGTGTTAAATATGGTTCGTTGGTCCAGTGTAAATTCAAATACTAAAATGGTGTAAAATTAACTTTCACACAGTATTAAAATAAATTTTACCTGGTGTAAATTGAACTCCTTTTCAGTGTTAAAAATTATGTGTTTTTGGTCAAATTAAATCATACTACCCTGAAAAAAAGGAAACAGGAAGTTCCTTGATGCATTACAAGTATATTACCAGTGGTATTATTCCAGAAAATTGAACCCTTCAACTAGCTAGAGATAATGTTTTTAGTGCGTTCCACCAACTTAAAATACTTCAAATATTGACAGCTGTTTCCACCTATTTAAGGTCAAGATAGTATCGAACAACTTGTAGTGTCACACCAAAGCAAAGGACTACCTGAGCTTATATACTCTTCATGTAAGTCAACAGAGGCGAGATTTAAGAACACCGCGTGATCCACACCGCCTTTGCCGCGATCGGTACACACTATGCAACAAGGAATGCACGGCAAATTGTTTTAATCGTTTTAACAGAGTGCTTTAGGTTGAAGTAACTCTCATTTTACAAACAACCTATTTAGTAAACTGAACCATATATGGTATACAGCGGGTTGGTTTCACTAAAGTTTTCTGGGTTAATTTAACCAATTTAAAAAAAATAAAATATCTTTCTGGTTTAGTACCGTCAAACTAATCTTTGTTTATATTAACCTTCCCACAGTTGATTTAAATAAATACTTATGGGTCAACTAAATTAATATAGTTAAATGAACTATTCCTTTTTTTCTGTGTAGGTGCACTCCTCAAATATTTTTAGATAAACACCGTTTTGGTGTTTGCTGTATAAAATATTTTCAACCATAATTCATGGTGTTATATTAACACCACTTGGTGTTGGATTTTGACACCATTTTAAGATTACTCTTCACACCACAGATATTTTAAACAGTGTATCATAACCGTCGCAACAAACAGTATACACGTAGACACTTCCTACATTCAAATAACATTTGATTTGATCATCAATAGGTATTAATTATTTATTAAAAAACTTGAAAACATAACCTTAATTACTTACTCAGAATTTAAAGCCGTTTAAAACTTAACACACGTTTAGTTAGTGCACAGATGATTTTTTTTGTAAAAACCATCATACAAGCACCTTTTTACGCCTTTTTGTAGAGATGGTTTTCTGGGTAGGTACCTACTTCTGATGAAGATGGGAAAATACAAATGTATTTACAAGAAGCATTACTGAATAATTTAGATGCAGAACAAACAATTTATTGAAACATGGACGAATAATTGATGTCGTTGATACGATGATTAGGCTGTCTATTAGCTATTCAAATCTATTTGAAGAAATTAGACTAATTAGGTAATACGATACTAAGTACGGAATTATTGAATTTGTATTAGAGCTAATTTGATCGGTATTTAAAGTTAATGATACAATTTTCTGAAAAACAACAACGCAATTGTGTTAACTTGAGTATTTACTAAACCTACCTAAAGGTCGGCCTATATTTGTCGCAGAATGTATCTTTTACGGCTTACGTCTTACGTCAACCAATCAAATTGGACATATCAAGCACTGTAATTGGTTGACGTAGGACGTAAGCAGTAAGAGGTTGTAGTGAAAAGTCTACTTAATATTTTAAGATATTTAATAAGTTTTAGAAAGATTGACCGTAAAATTGACGAGAAAAAAATTATTAAAGATGCTAAGAACGCTTCAACCAAAATTATTAATCTGTCATTTTCTAGAAGATCCGGCAACACTGTAATACGAAAAAGTGATAGATAATAAAATAACATATATTGCCCCTATAAAGCCATTTTTCTGATTTTGTGTTCTTTTGAAGCATTTTGAATTATTTTGGATTTCTTTGAAGCACTTTTTAAAACTGTGGAATCCTATAGGTTTATTTTTCTTTGATGCACACGAAAATATATTTTCGTGTGCATCAAAGAAAAATAAACATGGGCCAAGCATTTGTTTGAGCGGAAATTTACACATTATTTTCCGCTAAATTTTACCAGTTAATTTGCCGTGAATTCGTTTGTTGATTTAAGCTTTTAAACTAAGCCTACTACTAAATTTAGTTTTCACAGACCAGTGGTAAGCAAATAGTCGTTTAAGCAACTGTGTTAGCATCAAAAGAGACATTTTTTATGGAAAATTTCTATAAAATTTAATAGGGACTAAAGTAATAAAAATACTTCTGTTAATTGTTTGGTTAATTAATTGAAAAGCATACAGCTTTGAGGCAATACTACTTAATTTAAGTAAATATTTTGTTAAATTAACCTTAAAAATTTACTTTAAATAAAACTTTTTTTAAAGTTATTTAATAAGTTTTATTTGTGTTATTTTTACCTATTTTAATAACCCTTAAGTTTCAATACTTTAAAGTATTATGAGGGACGTAATTTTTACGAAAGAAAGTATATTTCACCTGAAGGAAAATTTAACGGTAATTTTAACGTCAGAATTTTTACTTAATTGTAAATGTTACTCATAAGTCATAATTTTACGATATTAAAACCTGTTGCTAACTTCAGCCCGTGACTAAAGCGACATTAATCCACAACTTGTGTATTTAAAAGGTCAATTATTGTCAAGGAAACATGTACGATAAGGGGCGTTTTAAAGGTGGGAGTAGAAAAAATACTTTAAACACCCTATATATGTATATATATATATATAAAATATCATTTCAACAAATATTTGTCAAGTTGTTCAAAACAAAATTTGCACCCTCGCAGTATCATAATTGTAACCTAAGACCCCACACACAAAAAATGTCACTGACAAAGGGGATAAATTTGTTGACATCCGACACTGTATTCATTTGTTTCGTTTCCTACGCCGCCTAATGTCATGTATCATTGAGCATTACAAGGAGCACGCGATAATATCGTTTCTAGGGCTCTTTATAATCAATTAATTCGATTATAGAGGCGCAATTTGTGTTTAGGGTTTAATGTTCAAATTAATTGTACTGCGCTTATACATATTAAGTAAGTGAGGGTGGTATGGGGCAAAATTATAATTTTCGTGGGACGGCAAAAGGGGAGCAAATTTATGTTATTTATGAGTATACTGGGAAAAATTTGAAATGGGTTTTACGTATATGACTGTTAATCTTTCTAGGTTAACCTATATGTTTTCAAATATTTGAGGTAATAAAAGCACACTAAAAATATCAGTTAACTAAGCAAATTAAACTCATCCAAAGCAATCAAAACAAATATAAAATATTATTAAACATTAAAAGAAATAATTTTTATAACCATTTATGTAGGTGTTACAAATATTGATTCTATCCTCCGTGAATCTGTTTTTGCTTGAAATTTTATGCAACGGATGGCGCTTTAATCATTTTAAATAAGCAAAAACCTCTGTTTGCTCGAAGGATATACGACGGTCATGTGAAAGAGGAGTTTTAAAACCAAAATTAAAAAATAAATTCATAGGATATTGAACTTTTGGTATTATAATTCGATAAAAAATATGCCTGTCTAGTAAAATGTAACAAAACCATGATGCATGTTTGTATGAACCTTTTGTATTAAAATCACACCTGTTAAATTTAGTGTATTTTTTTTGAATTAGTGAAAGAAATGCAGTAAAAACTAAAAAAAATAAAATAGTTTTATATTTATTTGAATTTTGTTGCTCATAATCAGATGGTAGGGTACGCCGAAATAATTCATAAAGGAACCAACCGATTCTCAGTAATCAATAACTTCACATCCTGCATTTTAAATCGAGTTAAAATGACGTTGTATTTAAAATTGACGATCATAATACTGTATACACATAAATTTATTGCTTTTATTGTCTGTAAGGCCTTATTTGCATACTGAAATTCTTTGGTGTAGGTAATAATAATAAAAAGATTGTCTATAGTCTATTTCAGAGAGCCATATCAGGTTAAAACTTGGCCAAGAATTGCCCTTTCACCTTTGGAAAATTGTTGCCAATAAATGTACAATATAGGACTTTAGGACTAAGTTTTTAATTTGTTTTGTAAAATAAGGCTTTTCTTTGATTTCTGGCACGTTGCTTGGCATTGTTCAAGGCCACGTCAAAGTACCTCTGAACCTCTACAGCCCCAGGAGGAGGAAATCTCTCGTGTTCATGTAAACTCTAGAAAAAAACCTTCATACGTGTTATAATTTTATGAGATAAATAGAATTACGATAAGGCTATCAAGAATTATGTTTTATTAAACAATAAGAACTTATTGTAAAATTGTTTGTGATTGGTAACTTATATGTTATAAAGAACTTCTAAAACAAAAAAAAGAAATCAATATAGATCCCAATAGATCCTCTTTTTCCTCTGTGGCATATACGAGGTGTGTTCAGAAAATATCAAGAATTTTCGTTTTTTGAAACAAATACTTATTTATTCGTCTACATTAATGTTGTCGCCTTCAATATAGTCCCCATTGGATATTATGCACATGTGCCAGCTCTTCTTCCAATACTCGAAACACTTCTAAAACTCGATCTTTGGGATAGCCTTTAGTTCTTTCAGCGATGCGCTTTTAATGTCATCTATGCTTGCAAAACGACGGCCCTTGAAGGTTCTCTTTATTTTTCGGAATAGAAAAAAGTCAGACAGAGGCATGTCTGGCGAATATGGAGGCTGGGGTATCATTACAGTATTGTTTTTGGCCAAAAATGTTTTTGAAAATTTAACAATTTTGGAACAAATTTTGCTGCCACGCGTTTCATACCCAAAATATTCGACAAAATTTCATTGGATGAGCCAATCGATATACCAACATCATCAGCGACTTCTCTGATGGTTTATAACTATTACTTCCACTTTTTCCATGTTTTTATCGGTTGTTAATGTGCCTGTGCGTTCGGGGCGTTCGTCATCTTCAACGTCTTCACGGCCATCTTGGAAACTCTTATACCACTTGTAAACTCTTGTTTTACTTATAGCAGACTCACTATAGGCCTTTGTTAGCATTTCACAGAATTTATTTAATTTTTTAAGCAAAATTGGATACAAATTCTTTGATCCATTTCTTTTAACGAACGAAAAATCGCCGAGCTCGTAAAACACGTCTAACCTTAGCGGCTGCCACAGACAAAGTAAACAATGAAAACAGCTAAAGTTTTTATCATACTTCGGGGGCATGTATACCAACATAATAAAGAAAATTTTATGTCAACCGGACCCTCTGAACCCGCGAAATTTAATATATCCCGTTATCTTCTGTACTCACCCCGTATGAAGAAAATTTATATTGAAATTGTCCTGCTTGTAGTAAAAGGCAGCTTTTTTTCTTCACTGCAACTTCATGCAACGAGATGAAAATCTGTAGCAATGAACAAAGAAATAAGTACATAATGTAAATTTACAATACTTCAAAATTAACGAGGGAATAACAATCTTAGAAAAGTAAGAATTGTATAATAATTGAATTATTTATTTAAAAACTTGAAAACATAACCTTAATTTCTTACTCAAAATTTAAAGCCGTTTAAAACTTAACACACCTTTACCTACTTAGTGCACGGATGATAATATTTTTTTGTGATAACTTTCACACAAGCACTTTTTTTACGCATTTTTGTAGAGAAGGTCTTGAAATATTCATTTACTGCAACGTAACTACCTACAGCCCGTTCAGAGTAAAACCGAATAAAGGGAAACGTATGGGGCGTGGCCTCGCCTCCCTCCCACGCGCGACACAGTAGCTAAGCAAATAGCCTGCATCGCTAATGAGATGTTTTGCATTATTATCATTTAATTTTTAAGGTCGTGTTACCTGCTCTACCTTTCGTCATGTCGTTTATCACACAAGCTACTGTGACGCGCGTTGGAGGGAGGCGAGGCCACGCCCATAACGTTTCCCTATATTCGGTTTTACTCCGAACGGGCTGTACAACTCGCTATTGCGCATGGTAAACTGATTCTTTTTCCATGCTGATCAATTACTTGCCATGTTTCGATCAACCTTTGCCAATTTTTGACCAAATTTCATTAGAAACGAAGCTGGCCAAAAATAACTCTTTACTTTATTGTTGCAGGTTCGGACTTGGAGGACGACTTGGAGGAGAGCCAAAACTCCGACGGCACCGGCTCCGCGAAGTCTCGGCGCCGGCGCACGGCCTTCACGAGCGAGCAGCTGCTGGAGCTGGAGCGGGAGTTCCACGCGAAGAAATACCTCTCCCTGACGGAACGCAGCCAGATAGCGTCTGCGCTGCGCCTCAGCGAGGTGCAAGTGAAAATCTGGTTCCAGAACCGCCGCGCCAAGTGGAAGCGCGTCAAGGCGGGGCTGGGCTCGGGCGGGCCCCACCAGGGGGGCCCCAAGGGCCAGCAGCAGCACAAGAGCAAGCTGGTGGTGCCCATTCCGGTGCACGTCAACAGGTTTGCGGTGCGGAGCCAGCACCAGCAGTTGGAGAGGGCGTTGGGGGACCTCGCCGGGAGGGTCTTGGCAAGCCATGCGGCGCTAAGGGCCGGTCTGGACCTGCACGGCTTTCACGCGGCCCCTCCCCATTAGCTCTTTTTCATTAAGTTATTTTATTATTAACAAAGTTTGCGTTTGTTGAGAGTTGGACTGTATATATATATATACTTATTTTTAACATTTCATCATTATTTTTAATATAAAATAAAAAAAATCGAATATATTTACGGTTGCTATACAGGGTGTTTAATTAACAAATCGTTGAGTTGGATATGGCGAAAGAAATATTAATTTGGGTCTAAGAACTGGTTAAGTTGAATTAAAGAAGCTCATAACGTATTAGCAAATGTAGATAATATCTACATTTGCTAATACGTTATGAGCTTCTTTAATTCAACTTAACCAGTTCTTAACTGTTAATATATCGAAGTTCCATTTTGTAAAAAACTACGGCAACGTCACATGCTTGCGCATATTGCATTTAAAATTATGTTGACAAAAGTTAAAACGTTTTATTCGAATTTAGGTATATTAACTGTTAATATATCACAGTTCTAAGACAACTTTATCCTTTATTTGTCTGAAACACAATCACCGGACGATGTTTTAATAATTAGTATATAATTTGTTGACGATTAAGAAATTTTTTAATAGTTATTTCTTAATATTAAATATTTCTTTTTCTCAGTGTAGATATAAAAATGAGCCTGTGAAAAAATGAGCTGGGCCATTCCACGCGTAACTGATAAGACAGTTGCCGTGTTTTTATTTACAAAATAATATTGTTCTATTATATTACCAATGTCAAATTTTTATAAATAGTTCTAAACAAAAGCTGTTTAACAAGGTTTTTATTTGGCAAAATTAGGTAATGTGGTTGAATGTTTAATTCCTTAAAAACTAATAATTTAAAGCGTAACGGACGGGACTTTGTAATAGTCCCGCCCGTTACGCTTTAAATTATTATTTTTTAAGGAATTAAACAGTCAATCACGATACCTAATTTTGCCAAATAAAAACCTTGTTAAACAGCTTTTGTTTAGAACTATTTATAAAAATTTGACATTGGTAATATAATAGAACAATATTATTTTGTAAATAAAAACACGGCAACTGTCCTATCCGTTAAGCGTGGAATGGTCCAGCTCTTAATTTCAAAATTAAGATGCTCCGCATCGCACTTTTCGATTTTCCATAAGAATAACATAGGAAAAATTATTTTTGTTTTTTTTTTATTTTTGTAACTAACGAACAATAGGTCGTACTGTAAAGTTCTTGACATATTTTTGTAGAGAATTGAACGCTCTACAATAAAGGTTTCTTATGATTTTTTGGTAAATTTGATCCTTCTCCAAAAATTTCACCCCCATATTCGCAAACCTAATAACAAAAAAGTTATAGGCTATTTTGGATTGACAAGCATTTCTCAAGTTTTAACGAAATAAATTAATAACTCCCCCAAGTGAAAATGACTATTTTTTATTTTTGGCTGTTTCACTGTTAGTCTAGAATGGGAAGCCACCACTAGTAAATTACTAGTAGTAATAACATAACATATTATGTAAGTGGTTCTGCACTAATGCAAGAATTTTAAGAAATCATATATTTTGAATATTAGAGCTTCACGGAGGTTAGGATTTCGTATGTTTTTTTTAAACATCCCTTTGAATATTTCAAATAAGTTATTGTATCTTTTGACACCTTAATATTTTTTAAAAATACAATTGTACATACATAAAATATTTATAAAAAAAAGATATTACACTTCACGGTGGATAGGTTTTTAAATAGCAAATTAACGAACTTAAACTTTTGAATTATAAAACAGCAACACTCTCATCTGCATATAAATTCTAACCGACCTTCAGGAATCACATGCATCTATAATGTCGTAAACAGAGGTTTTTGCTTATTTAAAATGATTAAAGCGCCATCCGTTGCATAAAATTTAAAGCAAAAACAGATTCACGCAGAATAGAATCAATTTTTGTAACACCTACATAAATGGTTATACAAAATTTTTCTTTTAATTTTTAATAATATTTTATATTTGATACGATTGCTTTGGATGTGTTTAATTTACTTGGTGAACTGATATTTTTAGATTTTTAGTTTGCTTTTACTACCCCAGATATTTGAAAACATATAGGTTAACCTAGAAAGAGTAACAGTCACGGAGGATGGGTTTTAGACTTTTAGAACATTGTAAAAAATAATTAATTGCGCTTAAAAATCTGGAACCTGAGGTGTAATATCTCAAACTCATTTAGTTTTATTAAATATCACGGGATAACACCATTCACCCATATAGGATATTTCCAAAAAGGGTTGGCATAAACTTTTACTTCAAATTTAACGTCATCATGATGCAAAAAATATGCATATTTTTTGCAAAGTAAAGTAAAATGAAGTCTAAGGTTAGTAATTAATGCAGTATTTTAACAAATTTAAATTAAAATTTTGGTTTGTCTCATTTAAGTTCCTAAATTTTGATGTTGTCAAAGTAGAAACAAAAAAACTACTGTGTTTATAAAAAATTGTACCTATTTTTGATATACCCTGTATAGCAATGGCATATTCGAAACGAAAAAACATTTTATATTAAATTTTCAACCCTTGTAAAATTTACTAAAAAATCTAGTGATGAAGTTGTGATGTTAATTAAAACAAATAAAACTAGAAACTGTCTATGTACCTATGTATATAGTTTTAAGTTTTAAAAAAATGGTGAATGTTTTTTTATATGTAGGTAAACAAATTATTTGTTATGTGCAATATAATGGTCTTTATATCTTTTCCTCTAGCCTGCATAAAATTTGTATGGGCAATTTAAAGACATCGTGTAAATACTTGTAATATATCGAATATAAATAAAGAAAATAGTTGCACAAAATGTATGTCTTTGATTTATGTGTTTTTCTATATTTTTAAGGATTAAAAATGATTTAAAAACTTACCAGATTGTCCCTAAACACACGGTACACCTCACAATCTTTAAAATTGCCACTTAAAACGTAAAAAATCTGTTAAAATGCAACATTATTATAATCCATGGCAACAACAAACAACTGTCAAACTTTTGTTTTAAGCCAACCGCAACTGATTGGACTCGTTTAAAATCGGCGCGAAATTCAAAACGTATCGCTTACAAAACCCATTAAAAGCTCGAATTAACGGCTTAAAGTTGGTGTTTAGATTGGGGGTGCTCCCTAAACGTTTACGTCAATTAATTTAACACGCATTTAAGCCCCAATAGGTGTCGGTATCGGTAGCCAAGGGTGGCTTTGTGATTTAAATCGCGGCCGGCCTTTTTTTCTGCGCTAAATCCGACACGGCTTGAAAAGTCACGGTGACGATGAATCAAGTGGGCGGGTTAGGAAATTTGTCAACCAAAGCCTGCTGCACCAGGTGGTGCGATTTTTCTCGAAGCCACAGCTGCCCCCCAGAATATGTGAAGTTTACAAGTCATACTTAATAAAAATCTGCATTTTATGTTTTTATTTAGCAAAACATTTGATACAATTGATTAAAAAACAACAAACTGTTTTTGTTGGAGGGATGCTTAATACTGGGGAACCTAATTTTAACTTGGAACTCAAAACTGTCATACTTAATAAAAATCTACATTTTATGTTTTTATTTAGCAAAATATTTGATACAATTGATTAAAAAACAACAAACTGGTTTTGTTTAAGGGATGCTTAATACTTAGAACTTAGAACTGGTAAAAAGTCATAAAATGTGTAGAAATCCAATCAGGGTTTTTAAACCTGTTTTTGTCAGTGACAATTTTTAAATTGATAAAAAAACTGTTTTTTTAAATATCTCGTTATCTAGTGGTCGGACGATATTTTAGGTTATTAGAAAAAATGTAGATAATAGAATTTTAAACAAAAAAGGTGCTAAACACATTTGACGTACGATGAACCGTTTAAGAAATATCACGAAAAGAGTAACCTCAAAAAGAAAATATATTAAGTGCGATATCTCACGAACGGTTTGTCCTACGTAAAAAATGTATATAACTTTTTTGTGGAAAATTATCCAATTAAGAAATTTTATTATTACCAAAATGTCGTATGTCCAGTAGAAAGCGAGATATTTACAAAAAACAAAGTGCCGCGGCACAATATTATACTAAATCCACTGTTTTAGTGTGATATCTCACAAATGGTTTATCCTAGGTAAAAAATGTATGGGACTTTTTTGTGGATAATTGTATTCTTCAAAGTTTTTATATTAAAAAAAATGTCGTATGTTCAATAGAAAGCGAGATAGTTGCAAAAAAAACAATCTGCCGCGGCATGATGTTTTACTTAAATCTACCTACAGGGATAAACTTATATGTATTTACCTAAAATTCAATGTCAGAAACAAGAGAGGGCGTAAAATAAGTAGACCGACACTCAGGCAGAAATTTAACGGCTCGTTTACTTCGTTGTATACATATAGGCTTTGTGAGCCGGTAATTCTATTTGATACGCTTTGTCTTATTGATGGCCCAATAACAAACATCCAACACGTTTCTTTGTTATCCCCATTCAAAATGTCTGCCGTGTTTACGAACACTTTTTTGCCTCTTTGTCAAAAAAATTAAAGTTAATATGAGCCTTAACAAAATTTATAGGATGAGAGAAAAAATATTTAAAATGAACTTGCATCTTAATAATTCCATTATGGAAAAGTAAAAGGAGAATTCTTCAGACAAAATGTTTAAATGTGTCTAATATTTTTTATTAAAAAACTGTTTTTAATTATTAGATATATGTATTAATACTATCTTAATAAAAGTTCAATTAAATTAATTAAATCTTGCTCCTTCAAAATCTATACAGAAAATGATACGATGAGTAGTTGTTTAACTTACATACACAAGAAAAAAACCTGTCACCCACTACATTATTATTGAATGATCAACTATTAAACGTTACGTAACTTTAAATGCAATATTTAGTTAAAGAAATTAAAATGAATTTGAAAAAAATAAAAAAAATTGGGTAAACTTTTTTTAGTAAGTAAATACAGGGTGTTTCATATTCGTGGTAACCATAGATACCGTCAAATCATCCGTCACAGCTTTCTTGATAAAAAATAATATTTAAAATTTTAGAAATTGTTAAATACCTATCTCTGAAATTATTAACTTTAGTTATAGGGAATAGTAATATCAATCGAAAGATTTTTTA